CAAATTTTTGTGCACCGGGCCTCTAGTTATGTATAAACTACTATGAGGGATGTAAAAAGGATTAAGGCAAGATCCCTGTTTTGCAGGTCTTATCTAAGTGTGACCACCTAAAGCATATGAAGAGGGAGGGTTATATCCCAGCAGACTCTGAGCAGTTGTAGGGGAGATGTTCTGAAGGGTAAAGAAACAGCATGACTAGTCTGTGGTCCTTAGTGATTATGAAAGAGAGCGAGAAGGTCAGGTAAAGACACACATCTCCCCGTCCTCCCTTTTATCTGTCCCTCTGTGCTTTCTGCAGGTGTCTCCATACCTCCCTACCTGCATACCTTTGCGTGGGTAGTTTTCTCTATGATGCTTGTGATCTAGAGGAATTCTGGACATCCTTCAAGGCAGCTCAAATGTCACCCCGTTCCTAATCCTCCTCCTGGAGCTCTCACTGAGACCTGCTCATGTCTTAGCACACAAGTGTACCCCCTGAGCTCCAAACAGTGCCTGCTTACAAAAGGCAGTATCTGTAGGAGGAGGAAGAACCGCCACCTCCAGATTCCCATCATTCCATGTCCAGCCCAGCAGATGGACGATTCACAGTTAGGAAGCCATTAGGCTTCTCATTAGTTGTCTTTGCACGAGAAAGCTCATCTTGGTTCCTTTGATTAATTCTCCACTCCATGTATTATAACAGCAGTTAAAAATTGTTAAGTCAGCTCAGTCTCTGTTGCTCAGTGGTTGAGCGTCGACCGATGAACCAGGAGGTTATGGTTCAGTTGCCATTCAGGGCACATGCCTGGGTTGCTGCTTGGTCCTGGTAGGGGGCATGCAGGAGGCAGCAGATAAATGATTCTCTCTCGTCATTGATGCTTCTATCTCTCTCTCCCTCTCCCTTCCTCTCTGCATTCAATAAAAAAATATTTTAAAAAATTATTGTCAGTATTAGAAGAAAGCTTTTAAATGAAAAAGATTCTGTATTCATCCATGATAATTGATTCAGAACAGACTGAGAAAACAAAGAATGGAAGCATTTGGGACCATTTATAAAGAAGGATACAAAGTCAGCTATCATTCCATCAACCCGGGAATACCTACTATTCACAATTTCTTTCCAGTATTTTTACTATGTATATAATTTCCCTCTACAAATCAGGGTCATGTTGTATATATTGTTTTATAGCCTGGATTTTCCACTTATTATAAACATTTCCAGGTCATTTTCCTTCAATTATAAGATTTGTAATGCTGCCTAGAAATCCATTATAAAAATGGACCATAATTTATTTTACCTAAACACAACTAATGGACCTTCAGATTGTTTTGAATCTTACCAGTACTTTAGCATTGCAGGTTACCATGATTAAGTGGCAGATGAATGTCTTACATTTGTCCTAAAAATTCTGTAAATAGTTTATTTTGGCTTATATATGATTGTGTAAGATACATTTCTGTAAGTGGATTTTGGGAGGATATGTACATTTCAGATGTGTATTGCCTGGTTGTGTTTATTCTTCTGTGAACTCTGTTTTCTTTGTCATATTTTTCCTATAGGGATGCTTCAATTTTTCTTATTTAATTTTTAAAAGCCTTTTATACTAAGACTTTTAAAAAAATATTTATTTTGTAATAAATAAAAGCTCTCATTAACATTAATGGCAATAGAACTATTTGTCCTCAAGAAGAGAAAGTTCTATGGTAATCTGGTTTGAAAAAGGCTGAGCATAGAGTCTCAACAAAAAATGATTAAGAGAAAATCTGTGTAGATCACAGCACATATGAACCTAAACCTTGTTATTTCCTCAGTGGAGATAACTATTTCCACCTTATGGGTCTAAGATCCAGCCCAGTGATTCTAAGCTCTGCCTTTCTAAGAATAATATGCCATCGATGCCCAGAAAGATGTTAGCAAGTCTTGTCTGGAAAAAGTCAATTAGCAAGCATTGCTGTTGTCTTTCGTAGTGCAACGAAAAGCGAAAGAACTGGAAGAACGTGCTCTGGAAAAGGAGCACATACAGGAAGGTCTTAAAGAGCTTAACCGTGAAGAGGAGGAGAATTTTGTAAGGTATGATTTTGTTTTATTATCACTTACTATCTAAATTTTAAAAATGGAGATTTTTTTAACATAGAGGACCATGTGCCATAATTCTTGCATTACTGACATTATTTTACATCAGTACAGTCAGGTGCTATATAGCATTTCTACCAACAACGGACTGCATATACGATGAAGGTCTCCTGAGATTATAACAGAGTTGAACTATTCCTATCACCTAGTGCTGTCGTAGCTCTAATAATGCTGTAGTACAGCTCATTACTCCCATGTTTATGGCGATGCTGGTGTAAACAAACCTACTGTGCTGCCAGTAGGATAAAAGTATTGTATTCTGTGTTTTTGTTTGGGTGCCCTGACCAGTAATCGAACAAGTGACCTTTCAGTGCACGGGACAGCGCTCAACCAACTGAGCCACACTGGCCAGGCCTATTCTGTTTCTACTATACCTTTGGATATGTTCGGATAAACAAACACCAGGCTTGAAGCCTACGTGTGTAATAGGCTATCCCACCTAGGTTTGTATAAATGCACTCTGTAATGTTCACACAACAAAATCACCTGACACATTTCTCATGTATCCCTGTCGAAGTGATGCATGACTATTATATTTGTCCTAAAGGCTCAAATCACTTTACAGAATTTCATATTAAAATAAGTACCAAGCCCTAACCGGTTTGGCTCAGCAGATAGAGTGTCAGCCTGCGGACTCAAGGGTCCCAGGTTTGATTCCGGTCAAAGGCATGTACCTTGGTTGCGGGCACATCCCCAGTGGGGAGTGTGCAGGAGGCAGCTGACCGGTGTTTCTCTCTTATTGATGTTTCTAACTCTCTATCCCTCTCCCTTCCTCTCTGTAAAAAATCAATAAAGTATATTTAAAAAAAATAAAAATAAAATAAGTACCAAGGTGCCTGGCTAGCTCAGTCGGTAGAGCATGAGACTTTTAAAATAAGTACCAACCATCTTGGTAAAATTAAATTCTATTGCTATTGTGTGCATTCTGATTATACTGATTGGGTATTGAACTGAATGATCATCTTTACTTTATTTTTTTTTTGTTAATCCTCACCTGAGGATATTTTTTCCATTGCTTTTCAGAGAGAGTAGAGGGGAGGGAGGGAGGGAGGGAGGAGGAGAGAGACACTGATGTGAGAGAGACACATTGATTGGTTGCTTCCTGCATTCACCACGACTAGGGGCAAGGAGTGAACCCAAAACCCAGATATGTGCCCTTGACTGGGAATCGAACCCAAGACTCTTTGGTATGCAGTCCGATGCTCTAGCTACTGAGCCACATTGGCTAGGGCAGATGAACATCTTGAAAAAATAATATAAATTAGAAAAAAACTTTTTAAAACAGGCACCAATCCTATATCCCAATGAAATAACTTGATGGACCCCCCCACCCCCATGAAACAAACTGTAAATAGAATCTGCCACAGAAGCAGATACGTGCTATAATCTTTATATCTAATGAAAGCTGATATTAAAAATGTGGCTTATCGATTGTAAAATGGTGCAACTGCTAAGGATAACAGTACGAAATTTTCTCAAAAAATTAATAATAGAACTGTCATATTGATATAAGAAATGTCCAAACCTGTAGAGAACGTGTACAGAGTTTATTTGAGCCAACACTGACCACAGTTGCCAGGAAGCAAGATCTCAAATGCTCTGGGGAACGGCAGTTTCACAGTTTCTCTTATGCATTTGGAATAAAGGAGGGAAGGGAAGGAAGATTATTACCTAAGGGTGGGAGAAAGCAAGGATCACAGGATAGTTAATAAGATTATATGCTTTTTTGAGTGGTTACACTTATTTCAAAGATGTGTTAATGTATATGCCTGGTGCGTGACTACCCACCATGACCTGCCCAGTTAGGAATTTATGACCAGATCGCCCTGTGAGGTTACTTCCCATAGAACTCCTTCTTAGTCCACACTATGATCTGGTAATTTCACTTCTGAGTATATATCCAAAATAATTAAAAGCAGGACCTTGAAGACATATTTGCATGGCCATGTTCATAGCAGTACTAGTCACAGTAGCCAAGAGGTAGAAATAATCCAAATGTCCATTAGCAAGTGAATAGATAAACAAAATGTGGAATGTGTATACAATGGAATATTATACAGCCTTAAAAAGGAAGGAAATTCTGACACTTGTTACAACATGGATGAACCTTGAGGTCATTATGGTAAGTGGAATAAGCCAGACACCAAAATACAAACACCGTGTGATTCTACTTATATGAAGTACCTAGAATAGTTAAATTCATAGAGACAGCAAATAGGATGGTGGTTACCAGGGGCTGGGGGGAAGGGGAAAAGGTGAGTTTTCATTTTTTTTTCTTAATTTTTTTATTGCTTAAAGTATTACAAAGGGTATTACATATGTGTCCTTTTTTTCCCCGCCCTTGACAATCCCCTGGCCTCCCCTACCCCCCAGTGTCTTATGTCCATTGGTTTTGCTTATATGCATGCATACAAGTCCTTCGGTTGATCTCTTACCC